ACAGAGAGAGAGACAGAGAGAGGGGAAGAGGGGAGGGAGAGAGGGAGCATGAACTCTAAAATCCACTTAAAGAAATCTACATACTACATGTAAGCAAACATGCAAATGCCATAAAAACATTAAATAAGAACCATTTACTAGGGGCAAAAAAATCCTAGGAGAGTATCTTCTAAACTTCTAGAAAAAGAGTGTTGTTTCTTTGTAATTCATGCATAGCTGAACATCTTGAAATTCAGTCCTGTCTCCGGCCACACCATCCTGAACACGCCCGATCTCATCTGAAACTCTGTCCCTCCACTATCACTTATATTTTTTTCAAAAGAGAAGATTCTTCTTTTTATGTATTGAATTTTATTTTCAAAGGCAATAATCAATGCTGACAAAAATATGATACATTTTATAGTGAGATGAGTAAAAGCTGGTACATAACCAAACAGCCTCTGTATGAAAAAAACCTTAAAATTTTTCAAGCCCTATGACCCAAGTTATACTCCTAAGGCTGGGGATACAGCTCAGGGCACAATGCCTGCCTGCCAAGCATGAGGTCATGAGTCCAATTACTCGTACCACACACACAAAAAAAAATTACACTTCTAGGAATGAATTAAAAGAAATCTTATTTATAGCCACAAAATATTTATATAGATATTAGAAATTTAAAAGTGAAAAGAAAAAAAATTTTAATTAATGTCTAGGAATTAGATACCTAACTTCCCTAGGAAATGATCATATATAAAAAGGCTCAAATCAGGACATTTTAAAATGTCTAAACTGGGCATGGTAGCACACACCTGTAATCCCAGCACTCCGAAGACTGAGGCAAGACAATGACCACAAGTTCAAGACCAGCCTCATCCACACAGTGAGTTCAAGGGCAGCCTGAACTACACAGCAAGACCCTGTCTCAAGCCCCCACATCCTCCCCCAAAACTGTCTAGTGTAACTCATTCTCAAAAACCATTAATAGTTCTCAATGCTCTGAATCTGATCCAAGTTCACAGTGACAAAAGATCACAACTTATGTAGGGGAATGTTTACAATATAATGCTAGTCAATAAGTGTGTCCAACAGATCTACCCAAGCTCACCATCCCAAGCCTCCATTCAAAAGGACCTCAACTAACTCAAACAGGCACAGGTCGGGGGGGAAATATCTCACCCTGGGACTTTAGCTAAGTTTCCTTCAATTAATTTACATGCTTACGAATTTTCAGATATTTCAGTGATCATACATTACTTAGTAAACAAGGAGAAAAGGTAAAAAAGCCAATATAAATCTATTGGACTTGTCATTTACTAAGAACAAAAATTCACTGAATCAATAATGAAAACAATGGAGAAGAACTTGAAAAAAGGTTAACACATTTAAGAAAAGACCACACACACAGGAGCACATGAAGAACAATTCCAAAAGAAGGCAAACAGGAAAGACGCACCAATATAAATATCAAATATACACATTCCAATTCTCCCAACGTACCCCAGATGCAATGGAGCTGAAGACACTGCGTCTCTTTCATTTACAGATTTGATTTCTAATTGTTCTGTAATGAAAACTGCAATTTCTGTGATCATTGGAATCTAACTATTCCGTAATGGATATGCTATATTTCTTGATGATTGAAAGTATGAAAATTCATTTTTTTATCATAATTCATTTTAAAATCATTTAATCTAAATATCAGATGATCATAAATGATGTGAACCACACTGTGAAATAATTTCTAAGGTCACTTATCCTAAAGTTACAGTTGCTCTACACAAGTGAGGGTGAATTTTCTGGGGTTGGGCGCCCAAACTGCAACCCAAAACCCACTTATTTATCGCAAAGTACCAACACTCAATTAAACCTGAGTGCTGAGGTTTTAGTTTAGAAAAAGTAACTCACACGTTAACATCTTTCATCCTAAAAAGAACACACACACCATAGGTTCACCACAACTGCTTTAAACTACTCCAAGTTTTAAAGTGACTTGTATGTTACTACAGGTAAAAAGCCCATTTCACAAAAATAAAGAGTAGTATCAACTACTATATCAAACAGATTTTCCCTACTAATGTTCCATGGGATGTTAATGGCATGGATCAAAAATAAAAGGAAAAGGTAGTGACTTAAATAAAAGGAGTAGGTTTCTTCACAGAAGAGCCTCTGCGCTCATGAGCATGTAATCTCTGAGGCAGCAACTTTCTCCAAATCTATCTCAAGAGTGACTCTACACTCAAATAAACCAAATCTGGTTATTCCTCCGTTCCCAGGAAGACAGTGTGCACGCGTGGGATGGTGCTGTATCGCTAAGGATCAAGGGGATTAAATTGAAAGGCAGAAGTCCACGTGGGGAAGACAGCCAGGATGCAGTTACTTAAGTTTGGAACTCAAGAAAGAAACGGGACACAAAGAATCTTAAAAAGAACAGGCCTACGTATGGCAGCTGAAACCATTCTTGAGTATCTTACTGCCCAAAAGGTTTTCTATTTTTACTCCAGATGCCATTAATTCAAGAGTTACATCTTTACAATGTATCACAAACGTTCACTGAACCACCTGTTTACATATCCACCTGTCCCTCCAGATGAATTGTGCTTCTTGCTCCCTACAAGCAGGGATCCTTGCAGGCACAGCACCTATTACAGTACTATATTTGCAATAAAGAAAATGCTAACCAAATAAATGTTTGCTTCCAAGTCACTCTCCTTTAAAAAATCAAAAGAAAACCCAAATTTACCTTATTCATGTTCTAACTACATTTTAAAATATGCAAAGAAAAACACCTCGAGTTTAACAAGCACAAGAAAGCTTATTCATATATGTAGTAGAGATACACTAAACTGTGTCTTTGCCTTGGTGTTCAGTAAGTCTTCTTTCCCCACTTTTACCAAAGTATAATTGGGAAATAAACATCTTACATATTTAAGGTATACAACACAATATGTCTATATAATGTGAAATGATTAAGCTAATTAATGTATCACCTCCCCTGGTTAACATAGAAATTTATTAAACTTTGACTGTGGAAGGTCCTGAACCAATGCCTATTTCAATGTCCTTTCCATCATCCTTGAACCTACATTTCCACCACTGAAATGGTATGAAAAAGTAAGTTGCCATCGTATTTAACCAACATGACAAAAGCCAGCACCATCAACCATGGCTGCTGGAGAAACAAAGCCTGGGGAAAACAAAGTATCCACTTTCAAGTATGCATAAACATTCTAGAAAACTCTCAGAAAAATTCCTTATGGGCTTTTATGTATCATAATTCTGTCAGCTAAAATAAATGTGCACAAAGTAATATAACAGCAAAGCGCTGTACTAATGATAATTATAAAAGCTGTTAATTTTATATTCAAAAACAATTATTAACTTTCAACCTGTTACAAAGGGAAATACACTAACAGGCAATAAATGTATTAGAGTAAATTAGATCTTCTGTCTTGGTTTTTTTTTCTTTGTAAGGCAATAAAATGTCGTTATCTTTTACAATGCCTACTAAGAGATTGGATTATATCACAAATCTAAACCATAGAATTTTTACTGTTTTTTAGCATTCATAAAGCAAACGTAGGTAACTTTTACAAACTGTATTTACTTTTTTTTTTATAATTCCATTACAGTCACAAGTCTTTCAAGAAAAACAGGTATTTGGGGGTCTCTCATACCTTATGAATATAAAAAGCAACTTTGCCCCCTCAAAATCTTATTCATAAGAGAAAAATTCCAAAGTCAGTAATATTCACCAACAAAGCCATGAGGCATTAAAATAATACTTTGTTCCTCTACTGATTTCCATTCAAAGTATGCATCCACTTGGTACAGCCAATGTGCACTGTGAGACCCAAGGAGCAATTTGGAAGCTGACACTGCTGAGGAACTAGCCATATATCAAATGGTCAAACTTAAATATCCAACAATTAGAAATGTTCAGAAATCTCTTTTAGAAGTTTCTCTATACTCGTTTACTTTTATATGACAGTGTATTCAGCATCAGATTGATTTTAATAACGAGCCACTAAGCCAGAACGTGTTCCCAGCATATTTATAATGAAGACACACCTACACACCTGTGTGAGAGATGCATTACAGAAATGAATCTGTAGTCGCACTGATTTACAGCAGAATTACCATTAGCCTTACAAATGGTGAGTCCCTCGTAAACATACTGTTTAGGCTACAATTTATAATCTAGGAATACTACTTGCAAGCAACTTCTTCATACAAAATGGAATATCCAAAGTATTACATTTTAAAATACCACAGTATAGTAAAAACCAATTATATTTTTCTTTTAGAAAGTCCCAATCAATAAAAACCAAATCACAAACCCGCTATACCAATAACAATTAGATACTTAATCAAGATTTGTATGTTCAAAAGTTAGTAACACTTTACATATTAGCTACACTGTGTTTTCACAAGTTTGAACAAAGCCACATTTAGAGTAGCCTCCATTGTGCCATATACAAATAAGATCATCTCAATTAGTCATAAAGCAATCAAAAACATTCTTTAAAAAATTCCTTTATATTGCTTTTCTGTATAAATGCAAATGACACAGATGAAAGGGAAGGTAGGAGAGAAACAGATGCAGGGAAGGACAGAATAATAAAAAAACAAATCACAAATCACATTTTTAAAGAAATCATACATATGATATGAGTGTTATATCCATAATTATCAGAGTATTATCTAAAATATACTATAATTATCTACTCCCATAAAAGATCTGCTACATTTTAATAGGGACCTAGGGGAGACATATTCAAGTATAAAAGCTAATATTGTACTTTTTAGGTACTAATAATTACTATGCTTTATTTGCATTAACACCACTACAACGGTGTACTGAGTCCAAAAGTCAAGTTCAACAAATCTCCCAACTATTTACTGATCTACATAATTTCCCCAACTAACTACTGCTTCTCAGAAATCTCCCCATTCAAAATATACCATCAGTTCCCACATTCTCTTAGCCATAGTTTACTGTATTTCAAAACTTGAGTCACCTGTATGCATCGTCTTCTTTCAAGTCTCATATCATCCTGATGGGGTGGGGGAAGGGAGGGAAGAGTCCAGCAGCAAAACTATAACACTGTGTGAAGAAAAACAGATTATGATAAGAGATAATGATTAAGACAATTACCCCTAGTTGAGGAATATCTAATGTAACTACAAACCCCAAACATACAGATAACATTACTTTAAATTTGTAAAATTAGTTTACTAACATTTACACTTTCTCGAATAATTTCCTTTAGGCTTCATTAATCAAAATCAACTACATATAAAATGAACTGTCAGGGAAAGCAAAACCAGTTTTAAAATGTGCCTACTACCAATGAAAATGTGCTATTTTTAGTAATCAAATAATTGGAATATTCCACTGTACGATTTATGGGAGGGGTCTACATTTTGTAATTTTTATCGACACAAATTACTATGAATGTGAATTCACTTTTCATAATCACTATCAAAGCAGAGATAATAGAAGTTACTTCACAAGAAAAACATTTCAACCTATTGTTTTCCATTAAATTTAGAGTCACATGCCAGGTGTGTGACTTTAATCCCAGCACTTGGGAGGCAGAGGCAGGAAAATCCTTAAGAGTTTGAGACCAGCCTGGGCTACAAAGTGAGCTTAAGGCCAGCCTGAACTGCATGGCAAGACCCTGTCTCAAAAAGACAAAAAATAATAATGATAATAAAAAATAAATAAATAAATTTAGAGTCACTTCCCACAACTGTTCCCTTAAGCCCCCATGTCCTTGGCTCTCCAAGTGTCTTCTCTATTTTATTGCAGTCCTCTTACAGTGACCTATCCCTACTATTGCTTCCTCTGGCACTTATGACTGACAGCAAATTCCATGACTGGTAAAAAATGAACACAATTACCAACTCAGATTACGTAAAGAAACAAAATGAAGCACATGCTTAAAAAAAAAAAATCTAACTTACGAGATGAGTGAAAATTTTTATTCTTAAATTGATACTATAAAATTAAATGAGTATTCCAAATGGAACAATGTTGCTTGTGTTGGTCAAATTCCCAGGCTAGCTAAAAGAAACCTACTAACCCCAAAAGATACTACTTATCATATGCATTGAGGACCCTGCGAAAGAAATGCAGGAACTAGTCCAATGCCACAAGTTTTAAAAGTTTCCTTTGCACACTTCTAAATGCTTATAATTCCCTATACTTAATGTATCCCAATTATCCTACATAATAATCATTTTCTCTCATTTGTTCAACTCTCCTAAATACCATGCAAAGCTCTTATTGCCTCTGTATAGTTCATTTCAGGTAAGTTATAGGAAATCAAGTTGACTGAACTAATTCCCTTCAATACAGGTATTTAAAATTTCCAACAGGTATGCTAATTACGCCCAAATGAACTTATTGGTAGAATTCCAAACAGTGAAGGAAAGAAGAGGAAAAACACCTACTCAGGTGGTTGGGGAGTGGGGTGGTCCATACATAAACAAGTATATCAAACTCCAAATATTGATTTACTTATTTCTCCTTTTATTTTAAACTCTGGGTTCTTTAAAAGCTCCAACTTTATACTCCGAAGTAGTTGCAACCAGAGATATTTCACTAGAGGAGAAATTCAGGGATAGGGGATTAAGCGTGTTAATTGTTTTGAAATTAGGAACTGCCGCCTGTGTCTGAAATCACTGCCTTTAATCCAGATTCAGTCCAAAGAACTATCCAGTTCAGACACTGCTATAATACCATCAAATAATACTCTAGTCAACTGCTCTACCCACTTGTGAAGATACATGTATTTATCAGAATGTTTATTTCTAAAAATAACACAATCACCAAGAATCAATTTTCGCTCCAAAGCCATAGTTTTCTTTTTAAAAAAATATTTTAAAATTTTTTAATTCCCTAAAAAATGATCAGTCTATTTCTGGCACAGGCATGAGGAAAGAAAATACAAACTCTGTCTCTTGCTACGATTGATTGATTTATATCACATTCTTCACCTATAAAATGTTACAACACTTTGCCAACTTGAATAATTTCATCAGAAATGGATGGTATTAGTAAGAAAAAAAGTTTATAAGAAAGCAGAATCAAATAAAATAGCACAGTTCTTAACTTTAATAAGTTACTAAAGTGTAATACAAATAATAGATACCCTGTCTTTAATTCAAATTAAGTAAACTATTTTGCTGTACTTTATCTTCAGTGAATGTTTTTATATATGACATTTATAATGATTTGCACAGGTTTATACAGACCTTCAACCCATCAACTTATTTATTCTCTTGTATTTTGAGTTCCTGAAAGAACCCAAACCCCAGAATTTTTCAGGAATCTAACTCCCACTACTACAGACTACTTGCTATATAAAGTAGATACATGTACGAGGAAATTTCTACATCTGGAGACCTAAGTCACACAGGCTCATTTCTAGCCCAGCTCTCTCCACAGTTTGAGGCCCACATTTCAGATCTCAGTGAACCGACCTTGCACGTCCCAGTTATTTTTCAGGGTACTTTATATTTTACTTTCATTTACTTAATCTTCATAATCACATAAAACAGGTACCACTATCGTTCTTATTTTTGCAAGAAACTGAGGTCCCAAAAAATCAAGTCACCCCAAAGCCACACATGACTAATGGCAGAGGTAAGATGCAAACCCGAGCAATCTGACTCCACAGCCACTGCTCAATCCCTATGCCAAAGTACATTTACCAATTCCCTAGTTCCCCAATTCAAAATGAATGAATGAATGAATGAATGAATGAATGACAAAATTCTCTTTCCTGAACTCTCCATCTTGGCTAATGTGTGACACCATCAGCCCAATATCCTGAGCTAAATTACTAGTCATCTAGGATGCTTTCTTTATCCTTACCCTACCCACATACAATCCACAAATTCTTATAGATTTTACCTCAGAAAGATCTTTTCCTTATCTTTCCATTTCTACAGATCTTATCTTGGTAAACTGGACCTAACGTTCACGTCTTCATTCTTTATAGCCCATTCACATCAGAACTGTATATGCCCCTTAAAAAGAATCATGCCACCATTCCAACCCAATTACATGTAATTATGTTATTCAAAAGCTAGAACCACTGAGCAATGAGTCTTTATGCCACTGAAAATTTAAAACTTCAAAGCAAAAAAGATGAGAAAACTTAAAACTTCAAATTTTCCTCCCATGATTTTCATTTAGAAGATATTATATTATGATTATATTTGCATCACCATTTTAATAAGTGCATGGTACTCCACTGCCCAGATGTAAACATATTTTAAGCAAACACCCAATGGAAGGTAACTGGCTTGTCCCCATTGATTCACTACCACGAATTTTAAACCTTGCATCGCTAACGGGTTTAGAGCAACACGAACAAAACACAAAGAGTCATCAAGATTTTTTAAAATCTCTTCTACTGATGTGCTTGCTTACAGATAATACTTTATACCACCTACACATAATGTGCTCAAACTATCTATACTGAAATTGTTTTCAGATCGAACACTATTTCACTATGTAGTTCAGGCTGGGCTTGATCTCGTTTTGTAGCCTAGGCTGGCATCGAGCTTGAGATCCTCTTGTCTTAGCCTTCCAAGTGCTAGGATTACAGGAATGCACCACCATGCCCAGCTTTTTTTTTGTCTGACTTTTCTATATGAGGTGATCTTTATAAAGTATGACAGATACACATACAGACTTTTATATATAAAATATTATATATAATTAATTTACATTAGTGTATGCATACATATACTTAGTTGGTTATATGTACTTATATATGTATACAATTATATATAATTTGTAAACCACTGCTTTTAATTACCTTTGTACTTTAGAAATACAGAAAATAACAAGGCCCAGGAATAACCCAAAACACACACTCTCATTAACAGCTTATATTTCCAACAAACCCACTACAGGGAGTAATAAAATGAGTTTAGTTTTACTTATTTTCCTTGCTATATTTTTGTGAAGAGAAAATCTTTGCTATGGAGAAATGTCACTTCCTGAAAAAAAAATCCTAAATTTTGTGCTTCTGTATTTCAAGACACTTATTATCTTTCAAATTGGATGTCCATGTCTCTTACTTCTAGCCCTAACCTCAGATGTTGCCTCCTGCTCTACCCTGACCACCCAAAGATTTGGGGGTGCAAGGAATTAAACCCAGGAGTACTGACCTCCATCCCCACTTCACCCCTACTTTCCTTTAATTGTGAGACACAGTCTAACTGCCCAGGCTGGCCTAGGATTTGCAATGTTCCTCCTTCAGCCTCCCAAGTAGCTGGGACTAGAGGCATGCGCCACCGCAAGAAGCGTCTAGACTGTCTCTCTCCTGTCCGCTTGCCATCTCATCCAACAAGCTGCTGGACAGCTGCCTACTCTGCCGCATTACTACCTGGGCGTACTGTGCCTAAAGCGTCCCCAGTCTAATCGTCCTTCTCTACTCCTACCACTGCCACTCCCAAGGCGACCGCGCTAGAAACTACGGGCTTCTTTATCTCCTCTAAATGATTTTACTGAATCCTATCAATCTGAAAAAATGCCTCATAACTTTTTATTCTTCTCCATGCCCACTCTACTCTCTGTTCCAGGTCTGTATTTCACTAGAGCTACAACAAATGGCCTCTCTGATGGCCTGATGGTGTGCCAGAAACAAAGGCAGAGGCTCCCAAACTAGATCCAAACTATACTCCAAAATCCCGATTCAGGAAGCCCAGACAAAGGATTCAAAAATTTGTTTTTGAGACTTTCCAGGTGTTTCCAAACAGGCAACTCTGGGAGCTACTATGCTTAGTGACACCTTACCCCTTGTCCTATTTTATCCTGCACATAAATGTCACCTCTCTCTTCCTGAAATACATGGCTTCCAACCTGGATTTAACTCCTCTACAACGTAGGAACACTCAGTCAAATCTCACTCAAAAGTTCAACATGGCATCCCATAAAATGCATTTAATCATCTTCTGCATTAACCCCAAGTCATGTAAGCCCTACCTAAAATTTGTCCCTTCCTTACCTGACACCTGCCCATCTTCAAGACCACTTCAAATGTTCTCATCCAATTTGAAGTCACTCTACCTTCCCTACTAATT